TTGTGCACTGGTTGAGTAGTGAGAGTGGTTTTCCTGACTTTTGCTTTGTTCTGTACAAACCTGAAATGTTTGCAGTTACATCACTAGGGTTAAAACTCATTCAAGGTCTCTGGTTTACATCCAAAAAAAAAAAAAAAAAAGAACCGTTCAAATTTAGTCAGAGTCTACATTCTTTTTAGCTGGGTGAAACCTTGTGTGCCAGTTTCCAAATCCCACTGTTGTTTCATGGCCCCCAAACAGGGGCTCCATCATTAGCATTCAAGGAGGCAGCTGTTTAGGTCCCACCTATACAAAAGCAGCGGTTGCTTCCATGACAGGAACCAGGCAGAAACTCTCAAATTATGCTTTTCTCAACTCCCAGTAAGCACCCACTATTTTATTATTCACATTTGATACTTGAAAACATTAAATACTTGACGTTTGCAGATCACGAAGTTTGTAGACAACTTGTGAAGCTTTGAAAAGATAAGTGAATTCATCTAGATTGGTTCTTCTAACTGTATTAGTACTTAGTGGGGGGAAAAAAAGTATCTTCTTTGCTTATAAAAATTAGAGTTACCTAATGTATCTGAGAAAATGTGACATGCCTCTCCCTTTTCTCTATGTTTAGATGTTTTTCTCCCAGTGGTGTAGGAAAATCACTCCACTTTGGGAGTATTATCTTTTTTCTTTTTTCCTGTTCCCATGGCTGCTACTGTTCATTCCTGTATTGAAGAACACAGAAGACAGAAAAACATTCAAAGTAAAGCATCAATCACTGGCGCTCACAAAGAATACTCTTAATTGAATCATTTTTTTTTTTTACATTGGGATACAATGCGAGTCAATTTTCATTTTATTCTTAATGTACTCTGCTACTTAAATTTAACCATACAATCACAAGATAAGAAATTATTAAATGTTCTACATGGGACATATTATTAAGTAATAAAAATATCTATGCCACGGAGAACAATGAAATTTTTCTGCCTTTAAATTTCTTCTTCAAATATTTTGGTAAATATAGTAACAGGAAAAATACTCTTAGCTAGCTTACCAGAGAGATTTTTTTTTTTCTTTTTTTTGGCTGTCCAGTGGCTTCCCTAGGCTAAAAAGAGAGGTGCATAAAGAATGTACCTAGACGTTGCTAACACCAAATCAGTTTAATGAAAATGAAAGAGTGAATTTAGATACTTCTAAATAATGAAGTTTTGAAAGTTGTGACACAGGGCTTAGTTGTTGTTTTTTGTTTTTAATATATTCTTTTAGTTGTTGATGTACCTCTATTTTATTTATTTATATGTGATTCTGAAAATTGAACCCAGTGCCTCGCACATGTGCYTCTACCATTGAGCCAAACCCCAGCCCACAGGGCTTAGTTTTTGCTTATTATTATTAGAATTATYATAGAGCTGTGTTTCCTTCAACCCTTAAAGACTAGATCATTGCAAAGCACTCAATTTAGAGGTAAAAGTAATGGTGTCAGAGTTCATGCTGCAACAATAATTACCTTGGAGAGAAAAGGTAAAACCAGGAAAGAGAAAAATCACAAGGAGCTSGCAATCACTTCTATGTGGTTCTGGAATTTTAAGGAGGTTTCCAAGGTTAATTTGCTGTTTTGAGTTCACCCCTCTTGGATAGAAGTTCCCYAATTACATGTAACTCTGGGCTATTTTTGACTGCCTTTTTTGGACTTGTTCTTAAGGAAATTAACTTGATAGTTTTTCTTGGGTAATATGCATTGCACACATGTAGACATATAAATATGTAAAGGTACAAATATAAATTTGTGTATGTGTGTTTCAAAATGACAGAACCTCTCTCTCAACTGTTAGCCATTTGTGGATTTATCTACTTAAAAATTTTAGTTGTGTATAGGCAAAGTGCCATTTTGAAATATGGAGGTTAAAATTTGAAGACTGAAAAGTCTGACTGGCTATTGATAGTTAGGACATGGCAATGACATCTAAAATGGCATCATTCTATTCTATAGGAATATGCATGCCTGTCTCTAGAATCAGTGCTTACYTCTGGGATGACTGGTTAGATTTCATGGTGCCATATGCTATTTTAAGATTAGTATAGTGATATTTATGCATTGCTATCCCATTTATTCCTCCAAAGTCAGTGGTTAAAGCCTACATTTTACTGTTTGGATTCACATCTATGTGAGATGCAATATAATATTAGCGTGCTTGCTTATTTGACCAAGTAGTCATTCCTGTGAAAAATGATCGTTTGCTGTGTCTGGATGGTTCCCAGGTTTCTGCAAATGATGATTCAGAGGCTGACTACTAAATACTCAGAAACAATTTCAGGCACAACATAGTATGCTTATGGAAGGTATGACCATTCTGTACCTATATGCCTAAAGATGAGGCAGAAGAGGCCCAAGTAGACATCTCTGGCAAACTGTTCCTTTTTAAAAATCTCTCTGCAGAGTTCCTACTTAGGTGTCAACTTTATCTGGAGTCAGAGAAAKATTAGATAATCACTGAATAATCTATCCATTCTAAAGAGAACTGCCTGGGTTTTCTGCCTTGGCACAGGAGCACACCTTTATATAACAACATACCTGAATCAAGGTGAACCTGTGAGCTGTGGGTTCAATATAGGTGCATTAGAAGAATTTGGACTAGGGAAACTTAAGAACAACCCTCACATTCTAAAATCATCAAATAAAAATCAATGAAGAAATTGGTTCTCTGCCTACATCAGGTTTCAAATTTGGATGCCACCTTTACCCGCAACACCAGCCCCCACACAATCACAATCACATAGGTCTCCTCTGCTGCYGTCACCCCACTATACTTCATCTCCCCTGTATTCTACATGCCCTGGTCTCTTGATAGCACTTTGAACCTTTCTGTCACTTGACTCCCCCCCCCCCAAATTTGGAGGAGCAATCACCTTTTTAAAAAATCAGATATTGTGTGATTAAACCAGTCATCAGGGTACTTTGAGACTCATTTGATGAGCAGGTGGATGTGAGTATGCAGTTTGTTTTGTTTTGTATTTCAAAATATTGGGTGTCTCCATTGTGAGCCTACCAGCTATGGGTCATTTTGTCACCTGCTCCTCACCATGACTCCCTTGCTGGAGGGACCTGTTCTGTCTGTACTTGTGMAGAATGGGGTTTTGGCTTCTTTGTGGAATTTGCTTCTTTTTGTTCATTCTGGGAGTTCTATTGGAGTAAGTTTAGTTTCAACAACAGTGAAATTCACTTGGCCTCTGGTATGTTAAAATGGTCTTGTCTAATAGTAAATAAAACTGAGAGTGTAGATTTGCCAGGAAACCTTTAAAATTTATATTTTGGATGTTTAAGTGGAGGTAGCACTGGCATTTGATACCCAATATTTTAATATACATTATAAAAACATTTACTTCTGTCCCCAGGTCCCTGGGTACCAGCATAGAGAAGAGAGGAGCTTTGTTTTAAGGGACGCTCTATAGCTAGGAAAGATGATCAACTATCTAGACCATAGCAAATAGCTCCCAAAAGATTTGGTTTATTAAAAAGGAAAACTGAGCAGGATAAAAGACACAAAAACCTGTCTATCACAGTGACTTTCCCCACATAGAATCAAACCAACCTAAACTTACCACTGGTTTCTTAATTAACTACAGCATGTCTTAACTTCTATTTTGGTTCACACTATGTCCTTTTTTGGTGTTCTGTGTTGTTGGAAAATTTGTAACTGATGCATGAGTGTGCTCTCTGTTCAAACTGTTTCTAATATATAATTTCCTTGTCCAGTGTTCTTTCAATAAGGGTACCTCGTCCTGTGAGATATCTTGTTGGAATGATGCAAATGAAGGTGCAGACTATTTATTTACCAAAAGACACTAAACTGCAGCATCCTGCCCATTGCAGGTGGTGGAGTGAAGAAAGGAATGTGATTATTATTATTTTTTGCAAAATGGAACATTYAGTTTAAATAAGCATGGGAAATAATGACTGATCTAATAAAAATAGTCTGCCACTGAGATTTTTTGGGGGAGGGGAGATAAATTTTTATAAAGATTTTGACCTGAAAAACCTGATCTAAGTATCTCCCTGCCCTCTCTCACAAACCTCCTCTTCTCCGCCTCCCTTCAGCACAAAGGCCTTTTTCTTTTAAATTAACATTAATACCTATATATATTTTTTAAAGATGATTTTATATTGCAATTAGCACATCTCTTTAGTAAACCCACCCCCAAATAAAATAGTGCTAAGAAATATAAACATGGGCAACATATATCACTGTTTTTTTTTTTTTTTTTTTTTTTTAAAAATCTCTACAGGCATAGGCAAAAGTATTGCATTGGCCCCTTTAGGTAGTTGGAATACCTTGGAGACTTCTGACAATGGACTGTGGCATGAAAGATCCATGTGTTGAAAGAGTGACACTATCTTGAATTTCTCAGGCTATCCTTCGTTGGTAGCGAAGAGAAAGATGGAATCATAAAACTGCCCGGCTTCCATGTGATTCCAGCTGTACCTAGGCATTGCATTCACTTTTGAATTCTCAAACTTCAACCTCAGTCTCCAGGGGGCCCACTTCCCTTGTTATGTTTGAATTTTTCTTGCAGACACCTGTTGGAGACTATATTAATAAGACACGCGGTAGAAYAAGAAAACAGATTTCCTGAGCCAAGGAGATGAGAGCCACTCTTTTTCTGGGGGCCCTTGTTAATCTTTGGGAGCCCAGACTCTTCAGTGGCAGAACAAAAAGCAACCCAGGTGTAAATTCTTCAATTTTTTTTTTTTCACTTGCTCCACCAAGAAATGCCATGGCTGTGATCATCTTTAGCTGCATTTCTCTTAAGACAAACCAGAAAATATCTCTTGTTTCTGTCCTGCGGTTTTAGAACTTGATTCCCATTGCTTTCTAGCATCATTCTAAATAGAATCCCACTGCTTGGCCACCGCCATCATGGTACCTGTTATTGAAAGGGAGTCTGTATTTGCAGTAATACAGAGAATGCCAGTTTAGAAATGAGCCTGATTGCATGGTTCATTTTGTTCTCCTTTGTAGAGCCAGGCTGCGGCCCACTACAAAGGCACGAAACATGCCAAGAAGCTCAAAGCACTGGAAGCCATGAAAAATAAGCAGAAATCTGTAACTGCCAAGGACAGCGCAAAGACTACCTTCACCACCATCACTACCAATACCATCAATACCAGCTCTGACAAAACAGGTTAAGCGATGATCTTTGTTGTTGTTGTTGTCGTCGTCGTTGTCATTGTTTGGGGGTTCCCTCCCTTGTCTAATCCCGTGTCTGTTTAATGATGTGCCTGCCACATTGATTCACGCTTGAACCATCTTTCTGTACAAGGGTAACTGTTTCCTCTCATTTTTCCAGTATCCTTAGTTATCGTCCACATTTCGCGTGGTGAAAGGGTCCTGTGGCTTTTAGAGGAGCACAGTAGTCACCAAGGCCATGTGGAAGCCATGTCCACAATATTCCTTTTTTTTTTTTTGAAGGGAACCTTTTCAGTGTATCCTTCACCTCTTGCACACAGTCCCTTAGCTTATTTCCACACGGCAGATTCGATTGAACCGTGAGTACACAGCAGAGTACGCCAAATGAATCGAGAAGGCCCGATTAAGAGCATTATTACTGACAGGCTTTATTCTCATCAATTCCAAACCTTGCATTGTTTTAACTAGTGGCTGTGTGATTCTGGGCTCGTTATGGCTGGGTAACCTTCCCTCTGCCTATACAGGTAAGTGTTATTGATACCAATTACTCTTTTTAACAGAGTCTTCGTGGTGAAATAATGGCCTCTGAATGGCCCCTTGGGATGGCTCCTCTAAAGAACCAGTTTATTCACACATAGCAGGGGAAGCCGGGGGCTTTCTCTAAGCTGGCATTTTAAATCACAAGGCTGCTGGTCCTCCAATTTTATATAAAAGGAAGTCCTGTATGATGCATGGATGTCCCTTTAATAAATTACTGTCTGGAACACAAGAACTAGTAGAAACTGGTTGCTTTTCCTTTTCTACAATGGAGAGGGCAATGGTGAAGAACAGGAAATGTTCATGTCCTCACTGATGGGAATGTCTTAAACGAGAAGAGAATCTTTTGCCCTGACTGGGGCAAATATAGAATGCTGAGTAGTGAACAAATTAAAACAACTTCATTACACCGGGAATGTCCGTTGGACACATAAAAGCCCCTCCAAGGATCGGAGGTGATGCTTGATGCCTATTTGATTATAAACGGGATACTGCTACTCTCCCTGAGCTCCCTTGGCATGCTGCATGTGTTTTTCCCAGGTAGTACTGGCAGAGGATGCATGATGCCCCCTCCTTTTGAGATCCCTGGGCACTCTCTGAATATGGATGCTCCTGTTGTCTCTGTGCTCTGATATGTTGAAGGTCCTTCTGTAAACTGTCTCTTGAAATGAATGAACCTTCTTGGATCCCTTTGGTTCTCTGATGTATCCAGATTTGTGCCACCACACTCTAAAGGGTATATGGGGGAGTGCTTGTCAGATTCATTTCTGGTATCCAGAACAAGAGCCGGATTATGCCACTTTATTAACTTAGATGTGAAAAGTTATAGGAAAAGCATGAGTTTTTTTGTTTCATAATTGAAGACTCGCTGCATTATTTTGGTGACTATAGGGGAATGAGTGGTAATGAAGTAGTTGAGTTTAATTTCTATTCCCAGATATTGGGGCACAGATGGGGATCCCCAAAGCCACTCTTGCCCTAGAGAACTTCAGATAGCTTTCTAATGTGAACACCTTAGTGAGAAGGCAGAATAAAGAGAATCCTGCTATCCAGTCTCAGAGTATCATCTTTGCTTGTTCCCTAATTTTTGTACTCCTAGACCTATTTGTTTATTTGTTGTTTGTTTTTACCAGTAATGGCTGTTTGGGCTATTTGACTCCTCTTTAAAAATGCAGAAATCCTTATTATGTTAAAGATGCACATCATTAAAAAATATGTTTGCATGGTGGGTTGAACTGCTGACTTGGGTCAGGAAAGTCCCCTCTCCCCAATGCATATTTTCTCTGTTACTGAAAGGAATTGTGACATGTACTTCCAGCTCTTAATGTAAAGACTGGAACATGGAAGATGGTAGTCACAAAGGCTCTGTCCTTCTAGAAGTTGAATAGTAACAAGCTGTGGAAGAGAAGCGACATAAAACAAACATGCCAGAACTTACCTAGCAGTGGAATGGGTATTGAAATCATGAAACACCCCTTCCAGTCCAGAGGCAAAGAAAATTCCAGAAGGACAGGAGGGCTAATCGGAAATCTGTAAAGTTATCACAAACATCTGAAGGCCAAAGGAAGAAAGTATTGGGCATTAGAACTAACCTATAGGGACAGATACTTAGGTTAAAAAAAAAAAATCGTACAGGATGAGACAGTAAAGATTCTAGCACATTCACAGATGTTTTAAGCCTAATTGTAACTTTAAAACTGAATTTCCACGAAACTCTCTAGGAGAACTATGGAGTCCAAGAAAACTCCACCCATTTCATAGGCCCCTTATCCAATTTGATTGCATTATAAATCAGGGGTACCTGAGCTGACAAATTTGAATTTTTCTTAAAATAATAACTTGGCCTTTTTATTACTGCTTATTCCCCGTGTTGATTAAGAGTCCAAACCTGGAAACAAAATGAATCTCTGAACTAGTTTTCTAGGACAGTTAAATACTTGGCAGAAGGAGAGGGAGATGAGGCTCTAGAATCGAAGATTGTGCATTTGTTAGTAACACAAAAGTATAACTCTTCTGCTTAATGCACAAGGATGTTCTGTCATCTAGGAACTTATCCATACATATGACAGACAGACGTTAAATCACATTTTATTGATTTCACCAAATCATCTCAATAAAGTAATCCAATTATATGAAAGGAAAAAAAAACCTCTTCCAATTATATGAGGGGAAAAAAATGAAATGAAAAACACTAAGCTTGGAAAGCATTGGTGTATGAGAACCGTCAGAGTTTGGATAAACATGGTAAAAAGGATAAAAAGTGGACTGGACTTGAATTAGAAAATTGATTTGGGGATTTTCTCTAAACTATAAAGATTAGGACATTCACAGAATACAAGTTTTGGTTACATACTTACTTGATAAAACAGAGAATTTTGACAGATATTTTCTCTTAAATTCCTAAATTGTGTCTTGCTTGGTGATACACAGGAGTCTCGATTGCTTCCTTGGAGTCATAAATATGTCTAAATGACCTATGGGGTTAGCTTTTCTTAGTTTACGATCTTGTTTTTGTTCTTTTTTACTACTTATCTCAGTCTGCATGCTAGATTTGTGAACATATGGTACTTTTCAGGGATCAACCACTAATTGTTCATAGAAAGCCTAATTTGTCTATGTCTAGGCTAGAAGAAACTCTCTAATATTACACTAATGAAAAATGTTAGATTGGTGAATTCACACACACAAAAAAATGCATAGGCAAATGTAATATTTAAAAAGACATTGAATACTCAATAGTTTGCATGTAAAAGTGAATACTGTCCTTACTGAATATTATATATAGGAAGCATTTTCCAAAAGTAACCAGACTTACTGATTCAGCATGTTTTTTTCTAATGCATGTTTTTTGATACAGAAAGAGTAATGACAGAAATGAAGGCATTATAGTCAAAGTAACTTTGCAAATGTAATTAAATTGTTTTCTCTTTTATAAAATGCCAAATTCAGAATTACCTGATTAAGTTCTGTGTGATTCTGTCACTTGAATTTTCTTTACTTATTAATATGAGGATACTCATTTATTCCCATGGTTTATGTCAGATTGGACTGGGTTATTTGGTAGTAATAAACAGTCTCCAAGTCCAAGTAGTTTTGCAACCACTAATTATTTATTACTCACATTAGGTGTTAGCTGTATGTCCTCTTTCCATGTGAATTTTAACACCAGATTCAGGTTTTTGAAGCAGCCGCTATCTGGATATGGCCAATTCTATGGTGGAGGGAAAAAGAGAGTCAATAGGCAGCAAGCTCTGAGAGCTAATTTTTAGTGGAAGCAATACATAACATTCCTCTCACTTTTTATTGCTAAACCTAACCACAGTGGAGCCGAAGAATTCCCTTGGAAGGGAAGCAGAGCAATAGTACAACTTTGCACTGTGACTTCAGCCACCATTGATGTTTATACGCCTCGATAGTCTCTATGCCTGTCCATCTCTTAAATCCAGATCTGCTTTTCCATCCATGGCCTGTAGGTTACTTACTTAGTTTGCCAGTATCAGTATTTAATAGGTTAAAGAAAAAAATAGTCCTCATCTTGACCACAATCCTCCACTTCCTTCCTACTCTATCTTTGCTCTTTTCTAATACTGAAGTTCAGATTGAACATTTCAAGTTGTCTTTTCCTCTTCTCTCTCCATCTCCACATCAATACGTGTATTGGAACTTACTTCCTTCCCATTCCCCCAAAATGGCTTCCATACTTTGATGCATTCTTACCCATATCTTGGTCTTCTGGATCTGTACCTTGCCCATCAGTTTCCTTAGTCTCCATTCTGGTCCAACTGCTTCTACACTTGTGCCATGATGCACGCCATTCGCTCTGTTGTCCATTTCTACTATGTGGTGCACAGATTTAGAAACCATCATGGGCATCCTTGGTGTGATCAGAGTGCACCCTTCCCAAGTTCTCTTCTACTGCTCACCTGCAATATTCTCCATCATAGATACATCTTGTGACCCCATCATTCTTTCTCATGTTCTCTTTTAAACCTCTCTCTTTAAAGTCAACCACTTTTCTTCTCCCTGCCCATGGAGTCCCATAAGAATACATTCCTTTTGAACTGTAGGATTCTTGTTGAAATATTATTTTCATACATTTACCTTCTCCCATTGCTACATGACATTTCTCTTGGGAGTACATATTTTTTTTATACCTTTATTTTTTTATTTATTTTTATGTGATACTGAGGATCAAACCCAGGGCCTTACACATGCTAGGCGAGCGCTCTACCGCTGAGCCACAACCCCAGCCCCATGAGTACCTATTTGATTAATCATTTTATTTTATTTTTTTTTACAAAATTATTTACTTTTTTTTTTTTTTACAAAGTATTCTTATATTAAATGTGAAAAGTGAACAGGTTTAAAACTCGGACCAGATATATATGTATATTATATATATATATATGTATATATATTATATAAATGCCAGATATATATGATTGCTAAAGAAGATTT